AACAACTTCTCAATTCTCCATCTCTATTGTTTAAAATTAAAATTCATCATTTAAAATATAAGGAAGGGCATAGAAATAATTATAAAAAATTTCTTCGTATGAATATGCATAAAATAGTCTCCATGAGAGTATATTTATCCATACAAAGCGATACTTTTTTCTTGTGGTTTACCATTCAATCTTCACTGACCGCTCTCGAATCGCTTCGTATTTATGATATTGAACCAATTAGACTTATTTCACTTCTTATTAATTTAGCTAGTCTACCTCGTCTTTTCTCTTTAAGTATCAAAACATCTAATACTTATGAAAATCTAAATGATATTTATCGACTAATATTCACCTTGCCGACATTAAAATGGTGCAGATTCATCTTTGATCGAAAGAATAGTTCATTTTCACTACCGATGGCTATCAATAAACAACAGAGTACTATTGAATATCTTTCTATTCATCATCATTGTACTCTCAACGAACTTTATACTATAATTTCTTATACACCTCAACTTCGTCGTCTTAAACTATGCCATAAACTTGAAATTGATTCAAACATTCGAACTATATCACCAATAATATTAGCAAATTTAACAAATGTTTCGATATATATGCATCATGTAAAATTTGATGAATTTGAAATATTCATTAGAAAAATATGTTCGACATTAAAAATTTTACATATTAATATTTATTCTCAAGATATAGCTTTTCTTGATGCTTATCAATGGGAAAAATTAATTTTGAAATCTTTACCTCAATTAGAAAAATTTTATTTACGATATTATGAACGAGCTGATCGTGTATATAAATATTCGATATATAATGGAGAACCAAATCAATTTATTTCATCCTTTTGGATTGAACGACAATGGGTATTCGAAGCTGAAATCAATAGTGAATCTATCATTTATTTAGTTCATCCATACAGGTACATAAAGCAAATTTTTGTTTATGTAAAAAAAAGAAAATAATTCTCTCTTTTAGAAAAAGATGGTATGAAAATACACAAGATAAGATTTGTAATTCTTCACGAGATTTTTCCAAATCTATTCGACTTACCCTGAAAAATGTTGATTCTGATGATATTGAAAAATTACTGACAATAGCTACTAGACGTGTTTTAACTGTCGCACAAGTGTACGATTTGGAAATTCCAAAAGAAAAAATTTTCATTGGTACATTAATTGAAATTGTAAATTTATTACCAGAAATCAATACATTAAAAATTCATTCGTTATCATTATATGAACCAAGAATGTTAAATTCTGAAGAACGTTGCACTTTTTCTTCAATAAAAGATACAAGTAAAATTACAAATGTATATCTTGAGAAGATGAATGAAATTGAAGAATTTTCTTTTCTTTCGGAATTATGTCCTTATATGGAATCTTTCAAAGTAGATTATATCAAACATATAGATTTCAAATTTGTTCTACGATATATATTCAAAAAAATTAAAGATGGTTGTAATGATTGTCTTTGTGTATTATGTTTTCGTATTCCAACAGTCGATGATGAAATGATTCGAAAATTAAAAAGAATGATCAATTTTGAAAAAATTTTATTTAATTATACAATTAAACGTGTAATAGATTATATCTATATAGAATGGGAAGAATTTTAACATGTATATTATTAATTCTTTTTTAGAATTTGTTTTTATTAAATAAAATAAACGGTCTTTTGTTTTTAGTTGGTAGAGTTCATATCTAGATATGATTTTTTTTTAATTTTTCTGCATCAGTGATGAATTAATTACATTTGTGTTTTTTGGATTAGGATTAGACTAATTGTCTTGAAGATCATTTACACAATTATGATCCGAGATGTTTATTAGAAGAATATTCTTATATGAGTATTGTTTCTCGTCAAACATCATAATCAAATCTGCAATGGTTTTATCCTTATATTCTCAACAGAACAATGTTTAACTTTACATTCATTTTTTTCCAAAAGCTCCTTTATCGATTTCGGCGATGCTTTCAAAACTACAGGTACTGATGTTGTACAATGTTCTTGACATGAGTAATGATGATCCTGAACCATATCTCTGGCACATAATCTATTTATATCATACATTGTTGATCATAGTGCGACAAGTCAAATACAACGATGGATGTAGACATGATGACTCATTCAACCGACACACCTACACTGTGTTAAATATTCAGAAGAATAATATCGAAAAGCAAAAGAGACATTAAGCAATTGGCATATTGCAATAAAAGTTTTACAACGTAAACTCTATATGATTATTGAAAGTTGAAACGCGATGAATCCATTGTAATCGTGTTGGAAAAATTTTCGTCACATTTGTTATGCCATTGCTTGTGAGAGCTTCATTTCAGGAACCTGTCTATGAATGAGGAATTCTCTCGAAGAGGATATAAGTTTAACATTAAACGTATCGTATTGTGGATATACGCATCTGAGTATCGAAGTATAGATTGAAAAGCATATGTATGCTGTAGATGACTTTGAAATTTAGTTGGAATTGGAATAGTATCTTTCTCATTTCTTCATAAAATATATCATTGATGTATAATACTAGATATACTATTATAACACTAAATACTTTGTGTGTTTCTCTAGATTGAGGATATATTTTCATAATTTTTTTTTAACAATAGAAACCTTCAATGAGTCAAATTGAATTGAAAAATAAATATTTTACTTTTGTACAACAAACAAGTAACTTTTTTTTTTCTTCTATAGAATGAGAATTATTTTTACTATTTTTGTATAATGTTTTAAAAAAATCTTTTTAAATGGTATTTAAAGGAACAAGGATGTCGGATGAAACAGTTTTTTAAAAATAATATGCATTTCATCAAATGTTTGTCTTATAACTATGATAAAAAAGTGCAATAAATTTTTGTAAGCACTAATGAGATTGAAAGCTTATACGATGCACAGTTTTCCTCAGTGAATTTTCGGTCAGACTTTCTGATGCGGTAGTAAAAAGAATTGAGTTTTTTATTTACGGACTACAAAGTGCTTTGATTTTATAAACTCTTGTCTAAATCGATCACTTTATCTGATTGATACAGTTTCATTTCCTTTATTAATTCATTCTAAGAGAATTTTTTTTCTATTTTATTCCTGCATTTCGAACTTTCCGATCTCAATTGTGACATAGATATGAAGCTTAATGAATAAAAGTTACAGTAGAATAAATGGATAGAAGTCTAGTTCTGCAGAAAAACTCACTATTAATGGATATTAAATTCATTCTAACGTGTTTGAAAATATCGGTTTGAGACCTAGCGAAAATATGTAAACCGAGAAAAATACGCATTCAAACGTAGATTTTTGCAGATTGTTTTTTCCACGCGATGGGTGAAGATGTGTTGGAACTATCTGGTGTCCATATCAATTATTCATTCATACATAGGTCTTTATATTTTTATAAAAAGATAAGCCAATCCTATAGGAAAAAGACATAATTCAATACCTGATGATTCCTTTCTAGTTGTCGTGGAAGTATCTTTAACTGACTCTAGTATAATCTGATATTAAATTGGTACGTCTTGCTATAAGATTTGTTTCATTCTGAAAGTAAACGTTCAAAAACACGTTAAAAATATTTAACGAAAGAAAATCGTACATTTTGCATCGATTCTCTGCTGATTTGATTAAGTATCATAATTTCACTGGATTTTTAACAACTGTATTTCAAAATCAATTAACATTTATTCAAGTTCAACTACTTTCAAATGAATTTTTAACTGAAAAAGAACAATTTGATAACCACGCACTTAATTATACACAATTATAATCTTTATTAGACAAAACTGCTGTAGAATTTTCAAACTAGATCTTTGACATTAAAACATTCATCAGTTTCTTATGGAGAACTGTCAAGCTGGATTGTGTTTTTGTTTCTATTTTTTTTTAAATTCCTTTTGTTTTTTAGAAATATTTGTCATCATTTAGAAGAAATAAAACAAGAATAGAAGCGAAAAATAGATAGTAAACAGGTTTTATCAAAATATGATTGCTCATATATTCACAAATACTTTGATTAGTAATCAAGCAACAGCTTCAATCATATTGTCAACTCATTAATTTTATTTACTTCAATTTAACATTTTCACCTCATTAGAGAATGTCTTTAAGTAATTAAAAATCTTTTTAGACAAACTTCGTCTGATTAATGGTAAGTTTACTGAGACTGTATTCAACGCCTAGCGAATTATAGACTATTTGCTTTTTTTCCGAGTTATGATCACTTCAATGAATTTGTCATCTATAGTCTATTGCAAATAAAATCATGTCATCGTTTCGATGTTAAATATTGCTCATAAATAGTTCTTATGAACCATATCATACACGAAAAATTTCAACTAATTGGTGATGCCTAAATTTCTGGAGAAACGATTTCATCATTATTAACCTATTTGACAATATTCTAAATGGATGAAACACTGTAGGTTAAAATCAGTATTCTATTATTTTTTTTACGACTATGGATTCCGAAAATTGATATCTAGTTTTGTTCAAAAACTGATAAGGAAATCTTTTGAAGGTCTAAAAACATAGTCTAGTCAGGATGAATGGACCGAAGTTTTTCGAGAATATTTTGTTTGTTTTTCGCTTGCTTAAAAGTAGTTCAAGCGAGTGAAACATTTAGGACTAGAATTTTATATGATCTATACTATAGTACAATCAGGATTCAATTCAAACGTTTGCTTGATACATATGATTCAATGGACTATCCAATAAAGGTTTCATTTCGATTTGAATATATGTTCAGTGTATTCTATTCCTAAAGAAAAACCCATATTTAATTCCATGAAAAATTAGAGTAGATATCGAAGACGAGTGGTTAACATTAAATACTAAAGAATATTGTTTAACCAATTCTTTTAAAATTACTCAATTGATCTTTTGACATTTTTTTTTCTTCAATAGAGTGAAACAAATATTTAATATATGCATATGGTCTTGTTGATCCTGATATATCTGAAATAAGTTATCATGAAAGTCGTCGAGGTACACGTATGATTCCATTTCGATCTTACGGTCAACCACCACCTGATGAAAAATTTATTGAACTCGATTATTTTGAACTTCGTGTCAACAATGTTAGTTAAACAATTGAGTTAAATATTCTAATCTAATTAATTTTTGTTTTAAGTATATTGTTCCATCGAATGATACAACATATCATTGTAAAATTTATAAAGTACCAACTACTTACACAACAAAAAGGCATGCTATTGCAATATGGAATAAATTATTTGATGATATTACTGAGAAAAAAAAAACAATTTCATTTTTTTCTTTGAATAGTACAAAACATTGATCGATGATGAGAATTCCGATCTTGTTCACCATTTACTTTTACATGGATGTAATTCTTCATTTATTTTTAATGATAATAATCTTCCTGATGAAGTATGTGATGATATTGTCGATCAAAGTGAACTTTGTGCGACAAATATTGCTACTGGTTGGGCAATCGGTGGTGATCATGTTATATCTATAATAAAACTTGATGCTACAAAAAAAAACTAAGAGATAAATTTATTTTAGATACTTGAATTTCCTGAAAAAGCTGGATGTCCAATTGGAGTGAACTTTCCAAATAGATGTTTTATGATTCAAACACATTATGACAATTCAAAACAAACTTCAAGTAAAATAATACTGATTTCAAAATTAAAAAAAAAAAATTAAAATTATATTCTAATCAGATCGTCGTGATAATTCTGGAATTCGATTTTATCTTGATAATAAACTTCGTCAACATGATCTTGGTTATTTAAGACTTGGTACAGTTTCAACTCTTTTTGGTCTTATTATTCCACCAAAAGTTGAAAATTTTATTGTTGATTCCTATTGTCCCAGTATAGCTACTGAAGCATATTGCTATTCATAATACAAAAAAAAAACAAAAGATATCTTAATTTTCTTAGATTATTCCAAAATCAGGTATAACGTTATTATTTGCTTTTCTACATACTCATTTACATGGTATTTTTGATATATTTTTATAATTAGAAATATTTGATTGTATTTTCATACTAGGTGTTAGTTTATGGGCTAAATTAATTCGTAATAAAACAGCTGTTGAATATTTATTTAATGCTGAATCATATAATTTTAATTATCAATTTGAAAATCGTTTAACAAAAAGAATTCAACTTTATCCAGTAAAAATATTAATTGAATTTTTTTTTTCGTAAATTAAATATTTGTTTTAAAAGGTAGATGAATTTGCTACATGATGTGTTTATAATACAATGAATAAAACTGAAATTACATTGGTATGATTAATAATTCTTGAAAAAACAAATATTCAAAAAATTTCGTTTTTAGGGTGGACAAGGAACAAGAGATGAAATGTGTTTACATTTTTTCAGTTATTATCCTCGAATTGATGATCTTTCTATATGTTTCACTATGAATACAGCTCAATCATTACAGACATTAATAAATTCTAAGTAATTTATTTTTATTAAAAAACAAAATATCAAAAATTGAATTTAATTCAATAAATAGATCACAATTTGATTTTTATACTGCCAGAAAATGGTTACATGATTTGATATGGACAATAGAATCATGCAAACAATGACAAGAATATTACAATAATGTTCCACGTCTATCTATTTTTACACGAGCAGGACAAATTCAGATTGAAAATCTTACTGTTTTATCAGAATATCAAGATTTCAAACCAGTTCAATGTCAAAAATAAATCATTAGAAATTATTAATAAAAAAGAAGTTTTTTTTTGCTTATTAGAATATTTGTCGTATAAACACAAAATGATCGAAGTATCGAAATAAATATTTGAGGCATGATTTTTTTTCTTATTTTTTAATATTTTGGGTGTGTATATGGAGAAATTATGCGCTCACCCATTCTCTACATCCACACCTAAGGTAACTTGTAGGCATCTCGAATATGTACCATTATTGCTATAGTGATCCAACGCAAAAATATCAACAGGAAGTAACGAAAATGTTCACAAAAATCTCTGTTGATCAAAATCAATCAACATAGCAGTTCATCAAGACTTATTTGAATTAGTAATATGTTATCATCATATATGTAGTTTATTGGCACGAATCATGCTGGGCAACTTTATCATAGAAATGCCAATTCAATTAGTTCTATAAGAAAAGAAAGCGATGATTTTAGCATTAGAATACAGAAATATTTGCTTTTGTATTTTTTCTTTAGGTCATTTTATACACTGATGAGCGATGAGAGATGATCAAAGAATTTTATTTATCTAAGAGAAACGATTTGTCCATGAGAATGTCTTTCGAAATAGGAAAATAGTGAATTGTACAATCATTTCTTGATTTTGAACATTGTTTTAAGTAATGGAATTTTTTCACATCTAATAATATCAAACAAAAAAATGTATATATTTTTAAATGAGACAACAAATAGAATAATACTCTTCAATGAACTGTTCTTTGGTCAATTTTCTTTCTGCATCCAAACCGATGAAACTGAAAATTTTTCCGGCAACTTTCATTGTTTCATAAGTCGAAGCATTCTGAGTTTCCTTTGCACTGCCAGTCTAGAGAAGCATACCATAAATTCATTATTATCGCGAGATAATCACATCAATAGAACTAGTTATCTTACAATGATCGCATTAAAAGCTGCTAATTCAGCCATATCTATTCTTCCATCGAGAGAAGTATCACACCTGAATAGATAGAATAGCTGTGAAGATAAGAAATAATTCTGAGAACTACTTACATATCAAATAAATATCCTAATGCTTCACGTCTATTATCTGCCGATGAAAAAGCGTTGGCCATTAAGAATTCCACAAAGTCAATCTTTTTGTCGTGATTTGAATCGAAGAGAGCAAATGCAAGTCTTAAACAAAATGGATTCAATTGGACCGTGAAAGACTACATAGTAAATACTAGACTCATACTCCAAGATGAGTTTTGACTTCTGCTATGAGTTTTTTTTATATTTCTTGTTCACTATAAAATTGGACTGTCAGCTCAGTATTAGCATTATTTAATGCTAATATGATACCCCTGCTATCAAAAAATTGAAATCTAACTGCAATATTCGACAGATAAAACAATAATTTAATCCGACCATCACCTACGATGTATGAATGATTGATAGGTGAACTCGTCAAAATATATTCATGATTGATATTCTCGTCTGACGTGACACTTTTTTCTTAGCCTGTCAAATACATTAAAACATGAAATTATGACTAAATAAAGTCGATAAAGCGAATCCTTGAGTTTGCATAAAAGTCTTCGAACGAACATCAACTAAAGAATAATAATTTGAGTTTCACGATACAAGCAGTAAGTGTATATCAATGTAGTCAGACATCGATTAGAAAAAAAAATGACATCAATTATGCATGAACATACTCGCGAGGAAATTTTCGTACAGGATTGCTCTCTTTGTATTTCTGATAAAACTTTTCGTATGTTGCATCAGTCATTGTACCATCTGGATTGTCACGCCAGAATTCCTAGTGAGAGAAACGGTGAGAATAAATGAATATCAGATTCGATCATATTTTATATCTACTGCATGTAATTTTTTTATTTCTGCAACGAGAAAAATAAGCACATTATACATATATCAAAGAAAAGAGACTTTTGATTACCGCTTTCGCTAAGTTTTGAACGAACTCTCAAAACTTCCATGTCTGCAATGGATAATGAACCATTTCAGTAAACATATCTATACAGAAAAAAAGAACCAACCAGTCACTGTTAATTCTTTGCCTGCGCCAAGCTTAACAGTAGGTGTGGCACTCATGATTAATGGTTTAAATTGATGTTTTTAGACTTCTAGAAATGAATCGATGTAAATAAAGAAATACATAGTATATATTGTTAAAAAAAAGCAATGAATAAGTTGAGAATGAACGATTGAAGAAATGGAATCAACAAACCAGATGTAAATAGGGGCAAAAAAAACATCATTATTTGCAACTGTTTTTCTACTTGATAAAGTAAAAGAGAGCTAGAGCACATTACATTCTTCTCTCATTTGAATAATATTTTTATCAGGTCAGTATGATAGGTATAGCTTGCATATAGACGTTTATACTGGTTTTTTTCCTCGTCGTTTCTCTTTTTTTTTCATATTCTATCCGTTGCATTCGGACGACTAGTAGTCGTCACATGTACTATGTTGCTTTGTCAATATCCTATGAGAATGAAAGAAAAAGAAAAAGAAAAAAAAACTTGTTTTTACTTTTGACTACATAATGCCGTATACAGGAGCAAATGGCGTAAGATTGTTTACACTAGATAGGTTATACTTATGATTGATACTCGAAACTGAAAAAGGTAATAGCTAAAGCATTTCTTTCCTTCGTACATGATGAGTCATACCATTTTCACAATGATAAATCCTAATTGTAAATGAATGGTGAATTTTATAGCGAGAAAAGTTCACTACACTCTGGTTTGTCAAATAAACAATAACAGAAATATTGATATGTTTGTCTATCTAACCTTCATGATCAACGATCGATGTGACTAAGACTCTCGTTAATTAATAAAATCGATAGATTATACTTCACATAATTTTCTGCAGTATACTTGTAAAGATTTCCTAAACAGATAGATTTATGTATTTAACTTAATGTTTATCATATTGAACATGTCTTGTAAATCAAACTCTATGAAATAAAACTTAAGACAATATAACAAATGGCCAATAATAAACGGGTCAAAATGTTTTTCTCTACTGTTTGTTTTTCAAATAACTTTTTCTTTGTGAATGTGAAATTTAAAAGATAAGCACCTACTCAATCGTATAACTAATATACCCGATTTTCTGCAGATATCTATTCATTTTGTGTAAAACTTTTCTCACCAGAATTTATGCTAAAAGTTATGTATTTGTCATCAATGAATATAGAATTACGTGTTCTCTGCTTTTACATCCTTTTCAAGGTTTCTGCTGCTGTTAACCAGAATAGTAAGGTTTTAAACGAACACATCATGGTATTTTTGAGACGCATTTTCAAACACCATGTTTTCCAAAACGAAACTTGGTCTACGACACGTTTCTTCTCTTGCCGTCGAATGTAGAATTTCATTCTAAACAAAATAGTATGATTATTAAATTGAAGAGTAGAAACATTAGATTATGTCGAATTCAAAAAACACTAATGATATCATTCTGTAACAAAAGGATTTTTCACATTCTTTACTTCAAAAATATTTCTCATAAAAATTCTAAAACATGTATCAAAAGATATAGGGTTTTTTGACTGGCACAATTAGACGTATGAGTAGGTGGTCATTCTTTAAAACTTGTGTCAACAAAAAAGGTTATTTGGAAAACAAGGACAGTAGCTTAATGCATTAGAAAGTACTCTAAACAGAGGAAAAAACCTGTATCCATTTATTATGGGCTACTCGTTATTATCATATTATTTAAAAAAAAACCAATTTAATCGTTTGAGTTGTATAAAAGATATTTATTATGTAAAATTTCCCTACTGACTTTTGCAACAACCTGTTTATTAAATTGTACATAATATAGTTAATTTACTAACATAAGCATTGTAAATAATAGAATTAGAATATTTCGTAAATTATAGAGCATATTGAGTTGTTTACAAGTCAATAATGTTTTCCGCTGTCTAAAAATGAGTTTAATATCATCAAGATTTTCACATTGAGGTATTCATATGTATCTCAAGTACGGATAAAAATGGCTGTATTTCATAGAGAGAAAACAAGTTTTTGGAGAACAAGCTTGTTAGTCTAGAAAATCAGCATATATATATACTTAAGGGAAGTTTATATCATCAAGACTTTCAATTCATCAGCTTTCGGTGAGAGAATGATTAATTAATTGAAAACATGATCATGTGAGTTATATCTTCAAAAAAAAAACGAAAGGTCTAATTAACTTTCGTTTGACAGAGTGGTGTCGATTATCTGTAAATATACTGTTTTCCGTACACTTTACTATTAGTTAAGAGTTCGGCGCAACGGTTTTCAAGAACTACTCAGTCCTTAGCACTATTATCAAGTGGAAAACAGTTTATCATATAGAAATTAACTATAAGCTCCATAAAGTGTTTATGATTACGAGTGAATAGCTCAAGTTTTAACGAATCGTATGGTGTATGATGAGTTCGAATTTGCAGCGAAACGTCTCGGTGAATATTATGTATAGAAAATCAAACTAAACACCTGTTTCATCGTGGTTTCTGATTGAAGAAAAAAAACTCTAAAAATTTTCTTTTTTTTTTTAAAATTTAGAGCTTGTCACATTTTTTTTCTGTCTGTTTTCAAAGCTTTTTAGAAATCGTACGAATAAATCACTAACCCTACAATAGTTATGCAATTCAGTCATACATGGCTGATAAAGATTTTTTCGTTCTCAAATATTCTTTCAAGACATAGCAACATCAGTCATAACAATGTATTTTGGATCTTGTTAATTTCGTATCCCAAATAAATGTCTAATGAGGTTGAAATTTAAATAAATTTAAACAGAGTTTTTAAAAGATTCAAAAATAAAAAATTATGTTGAACTTTAATTGAAGTCTAGTTGAGCTTAAGAAGCTGTAGAATTCGTTAGTTATATTCACTAAAAAAAGCAAACAAAAAAAGAATCTTTATTTCAGTAGTATATTATTATTGATGTTTATTTATCTTCGAATTTGACTTGACCTATAGATAATATTTAAAGTATGAATATAATACGTTATGTTAAGCTTTTATTGAGTTAGGTTCCAAGAAAAAACAATCAAGAATTTTTGTAGGTTGTGTTTTTCAATTAAAAGTAACAAGTACATGTTATATTCTCGTAATGGATACAAAAATAAACATTATTATATCACGATTAATCGGTTATGTGAGACATGTAAATCAAATTATCTGTATTTGAATCATCTATAGTACAAACAATGTTGAAATTTTCATACTAGTTTTTATTACACAAAAAATATAACTGAAATTTCTTTGCATTGAATAAATGATAGTTGTGTAGTAAAACGATGATTTATAAAAATCAATATTAATCGATACTAATCTTTAGTTGACTGAGAAAAGAAAGAATGAGAACGGGAAAGGCTACAAAATCAGACACTTCGATTCTTTTTAGAAGTGATCTTTGTTTAAAATGATGAGTTGAATTTCGTTTAGGCACCGTTTTTGCATGTTTTTCATCGATCTTTAACAGATTTTAGTTGGAAAAAGTACGTTTTTAGTCAAAACAAGTAACATATTAGGAAACAGGATAAAAATCTGAGTCGCCTCATATGTGTTCCGAAGTTTTTCAGAGATCTATTTTTTTCTCGAAACAATTCAGCTGGGATTCTTCTTTTGACTGGATCCTAATAACGAATCCAGCTGAATTTTCGAGAACAAAAAAGATTCGTCGATAAACTTGAGCACAAATATAAACCTACTTTGTTTTTTATGCTGATTCTAAATATGTTACTCGTTTTAACTAAAAACCTACTTTTTTTTCAATTAAAATCTGTTAAAGATCGTTGAAAAGTGCAAACAAAATGGTGTCTAAACGAAACTTCAGTTGTCTTTTTTCTGTCTCGCGATATTGAGAAAACAGTAAACAGCATTCAATCATTCGAGCTGAAATTTTTACCAGAGATAGGCTATAGAACGGATAGTGGATTGACATAATATTCAGCTGAAAGTGGTGTACATGAAGCATTGTTTCATGAATGAATTATTCAATTATGGTACTAACGTAAATACCAATAAATTGAGTAATAATCGATCTGGATCCTTCAAAAATCGCTTTTTTTGTTATCAAATGATTTGTTGTAAAAATCTGCATTAGATGAATCATGAGTGGAGGGAAACAGAGAATAGATTGAAAACGGTTGTTATCTATTCTCGTTCTTTGTAACAGATTACGTTTTTATTTTGAATTTATTTCTTGTTTCAGTTAGAAAATCAACCTTCTCAAGAATAAATATTGGTAAATAGTTATGATAAAAAATGAATAATATATTAGGTAATTTCCATTATTAGATATCGAAAATCTAAATCAAAAGAAAAATCATGAAGAAATTCGAAAATTTTTTGTACTTTTGCAAAATAAAAATCCAAAAAGTATTAGATAGTAATATGAACTGTTTTGCTTTTTTTCTGCTCGTCATATATATGTGTGTGATTTTTTTCCCTTCTCTCTTTCTGTTATATATGCGCCATCCTTTCTGTCGTATACATATCACCTTCTCATTCTGTTTTCTCGCTGAGATTTTTCTTTATATCTTGTATGAATTTTTTCAACATAGTGTCCTGTTCATCATCCTATATATAGCTATGATTTTCCTATAATAAACAAGATATTGAATGATAGCGTGAAATCATCTTTTTTCAATAACATATTGAACTTCCTTGTCTATTTGTTCATGTTGTTTTTTCAATAGAAACGAATCCTATCAACTTCCAGTTGGAAAATTCCAAGTAACATTCGTGAGTCAAGATGGTTGTGCAATTTTTGTTGAATACTATTGAATCATTATTATTCGCTAATTTTCTTGAATACTTGAGTCATAAAAATTGTATAAACAAATCGATTGATAAATAATAGATTTAGTATTAAATAAATAAACTATGTGTTAGTGGAACCAATTTTTTGTTCGATAATGATGTTTATCAATTGATTGAATCAAAGTTTGATTTTTCTCTCTCCTCAAAATATAGTCTACATAAAGCAACTCATACATATTTGATATGATCGTATACGAAATACAAATGATATTAAAATTATCAAAAATATATCAATTGGTTTTAGCATGTATTTTCAATAAATAGAAGTCTGAAAAATACATATGATGACATTTTTACAAATACAATTTAGATTTTTCAAATTGATTGCCATGCATAATCATTGATACTATTAAATAGAATTGATCGGAATACTATTTAAAAAAACAAAGTTATGTTCTTATGATTCATTGACTAGTAAGTCAATGAATCTACGAAGACTCTTTTCTTTTTGTTTCTTTCGATAGTGTACATCTTTTTAATGAATCTGTTTATTCTTTCAACAAAGGAAAAAAACTCATTATAACTATGAGTCAAGTTTCTACAATGAAATGTTTCGTCATTTGGTTTATTAACGCCCATTTCATGTGTAGGCTGTACCCATTACATGTATATCTACATATACGCTTACACCCACACCCACACTTACACCCGCACCCGCACCCACACTTACACCCACACCCACACCACCCCACACCCACACCACACCCACACCCACACCCACCCACACCCCAACTACGACCAAATGATATGGATATTGAGCGAGAAGAAAAAACAATTAAAAAGAAATACAAGCGAATAAATATCACTGAGCCATTGGATTTTAATTCATACTCATCAAATCTCGATGAAAAACAACAATGGTGCAACATCTTATCAATTGATGGTGGTGACATTCGAGGTAGCATTCCTGCTATTTGGCTAATGGAACTTGAACGGCAGATTCGACGACCGATTTCATCGATATTTGATGTTATAGCTGGCACATCAACCGGTGCAATCATTGGCGCAGGACTTACGACATCTTCACTGGATAATTATTTAAAGAATATTTTGGTAGTGCAACACTATCGGATGCTAAGAGCGAACTGGTTATACCAGCCGTGAAAAGTGGTGGAAGCGTCACTGACATATTTACACGATTTAATAGTCATCAAGATTCAACAAAAAATTTTTGTCTTACAGATATACTCATGTGTACAACAGCTGCACCAACATATTTCCCTGCTTATCAATTCAATAGTAGTGTCTATGTTGATGGTGGTGTACAAGCAAATATCCCGGCAATGATTGCTTATGACCACGCTTCAAAGTCTTATCCACATTATGATAGAAATCGTGTTCGTCTTCTATCCTTGGGTACTGGTGATTATGTTCCTGATCCATTGAATCTCAATGCCAATAGGAATCTCCTATTCTGGGCGCGAAATCATCAATCAGTATTCAAAATATTGATGGATGGCCCTCAAAATAATATAGATCTTCATCTGAATAGTGTTCTTGGTGACAATTGTTATCGATGGCAAATATGGCTCGAAAATCCTATTGATCTTGATGATATTCAAGACAAGAGTATCAATCGACTTATAGATTTAGCTCATGGGCATTTGGAAGAAATGGAAGCATACGATAATCGTCATCGACTTGGTTGTTTGATTGAAAAATTTCGTTCATGATACGTGAAATGGGCAGTAAACTTGAGTCTTTTTGTCTAATATTAACTCTCTGACTTGTGCTGGACTTTGGAAATGATACACTGCGTGTTAAGCAAAATTTTCTTTCAATAAACTACGGTTGATATTTTCGATATAGACAGCATTCGAAAAGCAGAGTTGATTTTTCTATTATGCCATCAACGTCTGCGATTAATATTTATGATGCATTCGAGTCGAAATATTCAAAAAACTAAAATCCCGATCTAAGGGGTGTGAATGTGGCACAAAAAGAAGACCTATAGCCAAAACCGCACTCACACCCAATTTCTCCTCCATGCTATGTAGAAAATTATTTTATTTTATTTTAATTTTCTTTGTGTAATGCAATCATGTTTTTTAAGTTTTTGTTGAAGTCAATAGCTAGTATAAACTTTTTGTTCTCTGTCTATTTATTTGTATAATAAAAAAACAAGATGACTGCAGCTCAGCTTCTATAATATCTATTTCAATCGAACGACCATAATCATACTGCTAATGATTAGTTATTGTATCAATGTAGGAACCAATTGTCACATGTTGAATACAATATAAGTTTCATTACTTTCAGAATGAATCGAAATGAAAAGGGTTTTTCAAAAAAAAAATGTACCTTGCTAACTATCAATAACTGAATTTTACAATAGATAGCCAATTAAGTTTATCATTGCTGATGATTGTACACTTCTGCACGGAACCAACTATTTTGTATCATACAGAAGTAAATATAGGTATGTGTTATTTCTTTGAAATTAAGATCTGCTGCACGAACAGGAGTTTTTCTTCGTGGATCATTATTCGTCGTGTGTTTCTCACGTTGCAGGCTTCTCTTTTGATAAGTATGGTCGTTCTCAGCAAAGTTCTTCGTTAAGAGATGATCAAGTAAAATAGAAAAGAGGGAGAAAAGAGAAAGATAAGAAAGATAAAACTTTTTTGTGTTTCAAAAGGTAAAACGAATCATTTGACAAAAAAGCAAACAGTATCACATGCATAATTAAAACTAAAAGTGACAACAAGAAGTTACTAAGGTGTTTAGTACTACTTCATTTGAAAGAATTTCATAGGGGTGAGTAACGCAATATAATCATTTAGAGATGAAAACGAAGTATTTCGTAAGTCATACATACAACAACTCTATGCTCCAAATAGTACAAAGAAACAGAAAAGGTATGAAATGAAAGCTGATTAATAATTTTTCTTGAGAAAAGTATCTAATGAGTTTTTGTTATTGAGATCTCTTCTCAACTGACTTTTCTGTTTTCATCTCATAAATACGTTGAACATTTTTATACCACTCAACTTTACAAGGATATGATTGTGGGATGCGAATGGGATGTGAGTATGGGTGTAGGTACGAAAACTGATCAAAATTACACTCACACCCACATCCCACACCATTGTATTTAACTGTTGGGGCATATATGTGATTTAGAAACATGTTGATTAACTCTTGCTTGAAGCTTGAATTTGTATATCAGATATTGACTACAACTTTGTCTCAGATATTTTTTTGTCGACTGAGTATTATACTCTGCAGATATTTGATGGAATAAAATGAAGAAGTTTTTGTTTCATCTAATATAAGCATCGGTAAATATAGTAGGCTAGGGTTGTTAGATATTTCACGAGAATGTTCAACACATTAGCATGTAATACAATGTGATCTGATTCTTTGCTGAGATGCTAATGTGACGGTAGGTTAAAATTTTCTTTCGAATCGAACTCATCAGCTTATGCAAAGTCTCACACATTTATGAAACGTTACAGACACAGCTGCCCCTTTCAATACTATTTGGACTGAGCATGACAAAAATGAAGCTGACCCATAAATTTTAAGACGGGATTCGACATTGACTTGCAAAGGTCAGGTAGGAGCAGGTCGACCTGTTCATCACTTACCTGATGGTACGAAATATGAAATGGCACTGCATCAGATGATAGTTGACATTGATTCTTTTCTTGAGCGATGTTATGTAACATCGCGGGTATGGGTGCCAGTGCCGGTGTTGGTATAAGTTTCACAGCCATACCTTCATATCTCTGAATGAGATGGGTCTTGTCTGTCAACCGACCGACATTATATAATACTGTGTTCAATGTATTTACCATGAAAGTATGAAGTTTCTCAACTCGTCCAAGCAATGTATTCATTTTTCAGAAAAGGATTTGCTAACATTTTAAGATTCGTAACTAGCTGATAGTTTTATTGGATCGACCTGAAACTTTCAGAAAAGCTTCCTCCATAGGTGATCGTTCCTGTCTAAAAATTTAGGAAGCAAATCTTCTGTCGGGAAAAAATCGTAGACTGATGATCATCGCTTAAATATCGTGAACACTAGATTCAAAATTAAAGCAAGATAAACTCACTGTTTAGTTCGGAAACCGGCATAACCTATGCTTCATGTTTGTCTAAAAAATTTCAAGGATTGGCCATATTAGTATTAGAAAACAGCTGTGTTGATTTTTCTACTTTGTGCAGAATCTATTTATAATCCTATATTTTTGTGTAACACATATATTGTCGAAGAAAATAGTGACTGTAAGTATTGAGTCGAAGTTTTTGCGACTTGTCTCACAATTACAGACCATATCAACGCAGAATCCCGTTACAATTCTCCTCATTACATAATAGCACATCCTTCCCTCCGAATTTATATTACACGAGAGTTTTCATTAGACGCATTTTATGTTAGCTTACGGAGGCTAATGAATATATATGCGAGTTTTACAGTTCAGCCTCTTTGGGGTTGTGATAACAAGCTTTTTTCTTAACTCTTAAAAAACTCATGCAATTAGCATGTTGTTGATCTACATTTCTAATGAGATATGTGAACATAGAATTTCAAATATCCAGTATCTGATGACAGTTGACATTTTTGGAGCTCGATAATTGCGTGGAGTACTGGAAGTGCAATATTTTGTTATACGAATATTATTTTATGAGAGAACATAACCAATTCTTTAATTTTAACTTCTAGATTTGACGCTGCACACTGTGAGCTGTTAATTAAACCAATTGTTCAGAAATCAAATTGAGGCACTTTCTGCAAGAAATCAGTAAAAAGGCATGATTATCTATCTCTACTCTAGCCCAAGAAATTATTCTACAGCTCTTATGTACTCATTTAATCAACGCCCGGATACAGTCGTTATCGATGAACCATTTTACGGAATTTGGTTAAAAAAAGTTGATAAAAAAGATCAACCATGCTTTGATGAAGTGATGCAAACAATGGAATGTGACGACGTGGAAAAAGTTCATGATGAAATTGAAAACCAGGAAAAAATAAAGGGCAATGTTTTTGTTAAAAATATGTCCAACATCATAGAACTTACAAATAAGAATCGTCTATTGAATTATCGTCACATAATTCTTATTCGTGATCCTGCTGAGACTATCGTATCTCATTACAAGATAGATCATTTGATAGTTTCACAATATGGATGTCTAAAAGATCAAGTGACATTCTACGACTGGATAAAAATGGCTACAAAACAAGATCCAATTGTTGTTGATGGTAATGAAATAAGAAAAGATCCACAATCCGTATTGACACAGATGTGCGATCGATTGGATTTGCCATTTACGGATAAGATGTTATCGTGGCCAACTGGTTTGAAATCTTGCGATGGTGTTTGGGCTAAATTTTGGTATAGCGACCTACATTCGACAACTGGATTTAGACCACCATCTGGAATTAAAATAACGGAGAATGATATTCCCATGGAACATATACCTTTCTATCGTGAAGTTTTACCTTATTATCAAAAACTTCTATCACACAGTATCCGAGCGTAAAATTAATTATAACTGTTTGACCATTATTGAGCACATTGAAAACCTGAAAAAGACTGACAAAAAGCATTCGCTCAGTTTTATTCGATTAATTTATGGATAAAAGTGCTGTAGAGATTTGAAGTGAAACGGTTGAGCTTGTTGAAATAGAAAGAAAATCGAAAACAAAGACTTCTTGACATTCAAGTATCGATCCAATCTATCCACTTATTTGCGATGTGGATGCAATCATAGTATTCACACTCACACCGACCCTCATCTTATCAGAGATCCATTTTGCAAATAGAATTTTCAGTCCACAAAATTTACCTCTGAATAAGTAATCTGTTCTCATTAATACTTATCATTCTTATTAGTGAATATATCTGTGTCCTCATATACTGTTTTTTAAACTCGTTTATTCAGACATTTTACATTACATGAAATGACTTTACAATAAATTATTTCAATGTGTTCAAAGTTTTAGCTATCAGTCAGAGTCTTTCATTGTGATCATTATGATCTATAAATTAACACTTGAACAGACAAACATGAATTTATTTTAATAAACTAAGAAGAAAAATGTTACTTTTAGTTTTATTTTTATTTGTTGTTAAAATTTCGGGATGTAGAGGTGGATGCAGGTGCTACAAATGATGGTTAACTCATTAACAACATTTGCAAGGTGGTTTAAAGGTCAACATCATTATCGTGGTCCTATGATTATATTATTTATTTTGATGCTCGAAATTGATTTATGTTCATGTTCTGATGACGCTCGAAAAGATCGAAATTTTAACAAAAAATAAAATAAACGATTATTTGATCAGCCTGATCTATCCCCATATATTAGTTATTCAGAAGGAGCGTCATTTGAAATAAATCTTTATTTTCAGAGAATCGATGATATTTTCCAAAAAAAATCATATGTACCAGAGATTCGATCATTACCCTTTGTTGAAGAAAATGATACTTCGTATTTAAACGACCATAGATCAAGTCACATGAAAAAAACATGATGTCTCTCATTGAAGAAAATTTAGTCATCTAGTGCAGATATTGCACCATTAGTTGTTCTAAAACAGCTACGGAGGGAAAGGGAAGAGTAACTATAAAAGATTCAAGTATTCGAAAAACAATTCGTAGGTGTGAGTGCTGGCGAAAACAAGATCTATTCTAAATCAGGAACTGGTCCATCAACATTTCGATTATCTTGTTTTTTTGCGCACTCTTTATCGCATGATCAATATCATCAGGACCTAGAGGAGATTTTGCGTCTACTCAAACCACAAAGACAACTTTTTTCCCTTTTTCATTTTTCCTTCCTTTGATTCGATATTCGAATGAATCTTGTAAATCACTTGCTGAGTCTGCAAAATTGTTTTGATTTTTTTCGAAACTTTTACAAGAACTTATGAAAATCTATTGGCCTAGGGTCTTCTACTTCGAATGGACTTCAATGTAGAGTCATCTTTTTACTCCTGACACTACTATATAGGGTGTGATCGACAAGAAGCTCCACACCAACATCCAAAAATGTTACAAACTAGATAATGCTAATTGATGGCTTTTTGAAACTTAAGGAATTTTTATTGAATTTCTTCTTATTGAGTCTTTTTTTGCCAGAAGATTTCTTTCGATATAATAAATTAGAGAAATAATTTTTAAAAGTAGACCGTTTCGACCATAGAAATAATAAGAATGATAGAATAGTAATAAGTCCAAAAATTAAAAATAAACCACCCATTGATTCAATTTTTATGACAGTCGATGTTTCAAATGAACCAGGACGATTATTTTTTTGAAACCATTTTCGTCTTAACTCATCAAGTTGACCTGATTCTCTTAATGATAAAATATTAACATCTAAATCTTTGGTATATAACCATTGTTTTTCAGTAACAATACCATAATCACCTTTATGAAAATCTTTTCCAATTAAAGTTAAATTACAATAAATATTATTCGTAATATATTCCGCTATACTAGCATCCATGAATGAAACATCAATACTGACAGCTAGTAAACTATCATACAATTCTTGTCGAGATTTTAATGGATAATAATTTCGACTACCAAAAGATATTTTTCTTAAATAATATTCTTCAATTGCTGTATCCACACGAATATCAATACGATTAAATGAAATTTTTCCATTTTTGACATCATCAATGCCCGAAATAATATCTTTTGATTTCGATATTGTTAGATTAGATGCTAAATTTGCAGTATATGTTGCTAATAACATTAAACTTAATATATATAATCCAGCAGTTAATAAACGTCCAGCAGCTGTATTAGCGTTAAAATCAACACCATATCCAACAATATTACCAAAAGAATACCAAACACTCATTAGAAATTGAGATAATATGGATCGATTTTGTAATGTTTCATTATCTTGCCTTTCAATAAGGCAAAGTAAAAAAGCAGCATAGATACAAACACCGAAAACTAATAACCAGAGTTGACATGAAAATGGTTTTAAAAATGATAAAAGATCAATATTAACATCAAATGTTCTTCGAGTTATGATTCGTAAAGAATTATCAAATATGGCATTAGAAAAATCGACTGATTCTCTTCGTGTAGCGGTAACTATGACATCACCAATGACAATAGCATAATCACCGTTAGCTACAGCTTGAATTACTTCTGAATACGTTTGATTTGGCGGTACTATTTGGATATGTGGAATGAATCCTATTTTATTTTGTAAAAGCTGAATAAGATCAGAAATATAACCGGTTAATTTTGTTGTATTCTGCCCAAATTCATCCATAAACTTTGTTATTATTGTAAATGGAATTGATTCAATAACGCCAATTCGTAAATTTATATCTTTAAGTATTGCTCGATCAGTTGGAGTGATTAATGAATTTCCTGGCCAAAAAATAACAGTGGTTTGTTTATACAGATTTCAATCACTAGTATTAGAATATTCTAATACGGAAACAAAATGCAAACCGTTTGAAAATGATTGCAGATTTTGTACATAGTAATATACCTCAGTGATTCGATCTGTAAGATTATTTAAATTAAGCTTTATATGACCAGATACATCGAGAAATTCTATTTGATTTATTGTATTTAGTGATAAGTCAGATTGAACAAAACGACGATCAAAACAAAGTGAGGATTCAATAAATGACAAACATGAAGAAGATGATGACGACGATGATAGTGAAGAATCATGTTCGGTTTTTGAACAAAGTTTTTGTAATGATTTAATTAATGATCATATTGCATCAAATGCAAATAATGCAAAAGAATGTACTTTTGATGATCCAGGAAATGATTCTGATTCATATTTTTGCCATATATCATATGCTGCATTTAATAATGCTGTATTTAATGGAGCATTTAGAGTAATTGTTGCAACTGGTTCAATAGTTAACAGTCCAATTAAGTTTTCATGATATTTTTTATTAAAGGAATCTAATGAAATACTTGAACTTAATATCCATATGAATTCAGGACCAACTAGATCAAACTTAAGAGCATCTTCTAATATTAAAGGTATATAATTGGATTGAACCCATAAAATAACAATTCGACTTTCACTATGTATTAATTTTTTTTCAAAATCATCGTGAATATTAAATGTTGATATATGAAATATAACTGACTCTCGAACTGTTAAATTATTTTTAATAAATCCTTCACTTATTACTTTGGCATCTTCAATTCCAAATGCATCATTTTGATAAATAAGTAAAGATGATGTCCAATTAAATCGTTTAAATATTTTTACAATTGCGATAGGGTGTGGGTGTGCGTGTGATTAAATGAACCCAGACCCACACCCACGCCTTAGCTTCATTATGTTAATGACAAAATATATAATGTTTAAATTCTCTAACAGACGATAGTTCTTTCTAATGATAATCAATCGCCGGTAAATGCTATCTCTTTCATTTGTATACTTCGAGCAGAATTCGTTTCTTTTTTTTGATGGAGTTGCTCTGATCTGTAATGGGGAGGGAGGCAGGGAAGGGAAAGCGGCGAAAACTTGGCATTAAAACATATACTCACTATTTTCTTCAAAAATATATGTGAGTTCCATAAAATGATAAATTAGATAATCAAATACATGCTTATCTATTCAGGGTATTGCTCTGGATGTGGGTGGATGTGTGAGTATAGCTGTTGATGTGCGTTTCCTTTTCATCTACACTCACACCCTTGTATGTGCAAAAATGGTTTTTTCTCATAGATCAATAAAGTTTGATATGAATCTTGGCAGCGGTAATTTTTAGTTCGTAGCACGGTGGAATATGTATGTGGAGTTGTGTTAGTTTGCTTACAAGTGTCTTATCTTCCCCCACACGCAAACTCTTGTTGCCTACTTAGTTATTTCATACTGGTGCATCGAGTATGAGTGTGGTTGGTGAGTAGGACTGCCATTTTTCATTTTTGGAATGGAGTTTTTAAAAGTTCGGATGGGGTACATCAGTGGGATACGTAATTTTCCTTATGAAATGAAGTATTTAATAGAGAGAACCAATGAAATATAACTTCTTTTATAGAAAGCAACATTATATTTCACTATTTTTACAATTAGATAGATTAGTCTTATTGTTTAATTTCTCTCAATCTGCATTGTTTTAGTTAATTTGTGAGTTGAAAATTGAAAGCAATATGAAGGACCATCCATTAAGGACGTAAAAAAGAGGAATAGGGTTCAGGTACATGTGAACCTACATGAACTCACCATGAATATTTTGAATATTTCCATATTCTAAATAAATTTTAACGATATTTTGATGCCTCACTTGATTTAAAGATCATTTTTAAATACTATCTAATTAAATTACAATCTAGGTTTGAAACAATTTAAGATTAAGTAGCATTTGCGATTAGTTATGCATGGAGTTCATCAGGTTTTGGAGAGTCACCCGAAATAAGCTTTTTACCATTCTCCACTCTCTACAATGCGATGAACGGAGAGATCGAATTACAAAGTTTCGTTTTATTCAGTTCTGTATTTGATATATTTAACGAAGGAGACGGTATATACAAGACTAATATTCATGAGAAGAGCAATTTGGGTCATGCATTACATTGTATCGTTAATCTAGTACTCGAATAGCTTCCTCTCGGACTAACGACTAATGCAGTTATTGTACGACTGATTTGAGCCTTAAATTAGCTCAGGAGATATACTAAACAAAGAAGGCTTTTTCAAAGAAATTTTCTGTATTGTACGTTCAATGGGAATAGGTTTTCACTTACCTGAACAAAAATGTATTGGTGGCAGAGAGAGTCAAAAAGATCTACTAACAAATGATTTGATTTTCCTAAATTTTGAATTTAATCAAGAATTTCTTCATGTTCTTGAAAATCCATCGAACAAAAGTATTTTCCACATCCGATACAATAATATTTAACTAAAGATTTACTACAAATTGAACATAAATTTGATTCATTTAATATTGCCATTTATATTCTAATAAAATCATTCGAACTATGTAATTTATTATGTGACTAAGTCTATCTAAAATGAATTTATCTGAATATTGTGAAGTTATTTCGATTGAAAAAATTTCTCTTTCATTATGTAAGAGATGACAAGAACTCATTGTGCTAATATTTTATATATCGGATGCATCCTCCATTTAGGACTGCTTCAATCAAAAATGTTTAAAAACCGAATGAATTATATTCTAGACTTAGATATCTTCTACATTATTTGAAAAAGATTCTTAAGACATCTTTTAATTTCAAGTCTTTTTTAAAAACAAATATGGTTCATAAAAGCGAAAAAATAAAATCAATGCAAACTAAGTACCTGTCATATACAACAATGAAGATAAATTTATTGATTAATATTGATATATCTTAAGTTAAATAATGTAAAACATCTCTGTCATTAGAATCTCGTTCAAGATATTCTTTACCAATTAAAAACTCAATACATTTCTACAAGATAAATTCATATCACTTAATTATTTATTATTGTCAAATTTAATAAAATAGTTTTACCTAAATTAAAGAAACTTCAGGTTTGAAACGTGAGCTCAATTTTTCAATAGTCGCTTGCATTAATAATGAATATTTCTGACTTTTTTCTGTTTCATTATTCGAACAATCGCCGCCTGAAAAAAAAATCAAACTTTGTCAATCGTACAAAAACACTTTCTTATTTACTTGAATCACTAATTTCCGATCTCCATCAATGGATTCATTTAAAGATTGCCAATTTTGCTCTTTACTTGATTTTAATAATACATTCAGTCAAATTCACCAGAATCTTTTCTCTAAAACAAATCAAAAACGACTTTTCAATATGATTTTTAAAATTAAATGTCTTTCCCTTGTGAAATCTTGTGTGAATCGAACTCTATGATTTAGTTTTATATCACTATCTTGAAAATCTTCATTGATTTCGTTCGTATATACTATTTTACTAATTAATAAACTAGAAAGAATTTGAAGTAATAATTTAGATGGAATTTGTGTTTTATCCTGTATTTCTTCAACAGTCCAATTTAATTCTTCCCTACATAATAATAAGACAATAATTTGATATGTTGTTACCTTTGACATTAGAAAAATTCGATGATGAAATTTGACTAAAAAATCAAGTCTTACGTGTAATATATATTTTTTATTAGTAAAATTTGTTTGTAATTCACCTATTGAATATTGATGGAGCCAAGTTAGTTTTCTATCACTATGACGATGAGAATAAAAATCGTCGAAACTATTGAATGTCGTTTGTAACTAAAAGAAAATTTTTATGTATGAACAAGTAGTCAATGATTATCTACTTCAATTGGTAAAATAACATTTGATAAAGATGAAAATGTCCATGAACTCAAATTTAACACCATTACAGAAAATTCGACTAAAAAAACTTTAAGAAATTCCTTCCACGTACTTAAAAACAATATTTTTCACCAATGCCTTTGCCATAATTATTTTCACAATATTCTCGGTAGGCAGTGATTAAATTTCTGCTAGCTTTAATATCTTGAATCATTCGTTGCAATTTCGATGTATATTCAAAACCGCATATCTCCTGTAAAAATAGACTAAAGATTAACAATTGATATAGATAGACTGATTATTGTTAATGGCAATATTATCTTCAAGACAAACAAGCACAATCTACAAAGAAAATAATCACATTACTCAAAAAAACCCGTTTAAATAGTACTGATATTTGATTGAGATTTTCTTCAGAATCTGTATTTTCATTTATTTTATTTCTAGAAAAATGAATTCATTAATATTTTATATATTCAAATAAAATGATACAAACTCTTTTTTCAAATGCCTATCACAATATCGAACTAATAATTCAGTTGATGTTCTTGTTGTACCACCTTTTTATGTTATTGCATTATTATTGATAAATTTACAACAAGCCTATTCTATTTCAATAATAAATATGATTTCCGATATAAATATTTTCTTTATCTAAAGCTGTTTTAAAATTTGGTCCATGATGAAAATTTTCTAAATGTTTTATATGAATATTAACTATTGTCTCGACATACGTTTTGGGATCCTATTAAAGAAAAGAAGAGAATACAAATTAGGAAAAAAAGATACTTAAACCTGCGTTAATTGTAATGTTACTGATTCATGTAACAGTAATAATACCTTCTTCATAAATATGATTTTCGATTAACTGTACTACTTCATATTTAATGTTTGGAATTCGACTGACTGGTTCATATATACGTTTTAAATCTTCATTTAATAAAAAAAAGAGCACTAATTTAATTCATTAGCACAAAAGACAATCATCACATTGATTGTTCTCAGTTGATATGATTGTTTTCACTTTGTTCATAATGATATTTAGACTGTGTCGAGAAAGAAACATTTCTTCTAATTTATTGATTAACATTTGAAATGTAGATTTTGATTCCCGTAAGAAAGATTTGGTAAAATTTATTTCAAGATCAAAATATTCTGATACTTATTATGAAGAAATCAAATTCTGCTGTCAAATTTTTTCGATGAAATAAAGAAATTCAGTTGAGAAAGATATTCGATAATTGAATTTAAGTCGATAGCGCGAACTGGTTTTTTGACGAAAAAAATCTTCGACATCTTGAAGAAATTCAATTTCAAAATATTGTTGATAATAATTAATTATTGGTTCGTTTATCGGGTCGTCATACAATAGTTCATTGCGTTTATTATTGAAATTATGATTCGTTAAATGAAAATTTTCAGATATTATTAGAAAAGAAAGAATAACTATTGCTAATTTACATCCATTATAGTTCTGTAATCTTTTTAAGTTCGTACATAAAACTTTGTAGATAAGAAAAACAATAAAATCATTTTTTTTCCTCATTCTCTGCAACGTACGATTCTTCGATTGATATCATGATTAAGTTTTATTGTCGCTTTCTTCTTACTTTCAATATGTGTTTCTTTCCCCACTGATAATCTTGTTAAAGATTTTTATGTAAAAACAAAAATAACTCCGACACTTTAACGCATTGTAAATACACTTTTAAAAAATGATATTCTTTAACATCCCTTGGTTCTAGTATGCTTGAAATCAAAGTAAGGGAAAAAAATTTAAAAAGTGTATAATGTTCATTCTTATTTAAATAAAACCACCATTGCCTATCTTTCATTTGACAAGGATGTGAGTATTTGTCTTCTTCACATGCATAATCAGGCACCGCTCTACATCCACACTCTCTAATGTTTACATCCAATCGGTGCTATGTATGGATTATGTCACAAACATATTTCTGATACTGATATTATTTTAATAAACCACTCACAACAATGTAGAAATTAAAGTATATAGACGGTCTATTAATAAAACTTGCTGTGTATATAACACTATATGTTTGTTTTCTTGAATTATTTTTGTTTTTACCTTGTTAGCAAAGCATCTTTATCGTTTTATATTATTTGTTATTTTGCTTGGCTTTTTCCTTTATTACCTTTTTTCATTCTTTATTTGCATGCTTTATCACGAATGACTATAAAAAAGATTAGTACAGACACTTGCATACAATAAAACACGTGAACAATATTATATGCTTTGATGTGAAGTGTGTGCGCTTTTTCCTATGCTTCATTCACAACCATAAGTTAGACAAAATTTGGAATATAAAAAAGTGACTATTAAGAAGAACTATTTGCTTCAATGCGAAAAGTACAAAAAAAAATGACAAATAAGTATACCATTTTAAATGAATATTAGTATACGTAGAATTTGAGTGTAGGTATGATTGAGAAAAGGGCCACATGCACGCCAGGCCACTTACACCCCTGGAGTTCAGGGGTTTTTGATTATTTAGATAAGTATTAATTACTTATTCAAAACTAAGTATTTCTCTTTCGTGAAAGAATAAACGTTACTCATTAATTTGATTAAATATTGGTTAAATAAACAAACACTCGTTTACTATATATGAAATCATGAAAAATCAAATGTTTAACCGTCATTGAATTTATATTTAGTGCAATTATAATTTAGTGTTTAAACGATAAAAGGTTTTTTTGTTTTGTAAACGCTTGAAACAGCTTGTGTGATAAACGGTGACATTGATCAATTAATCACTGTTTTTGCAACTGTCTAACCTTGGGTTTGGGGCGTCATTTCTGTCATAGGAAGATAACTGCATCTGCTCATTTATGCCATTCTTTAGAAAACGAAGTCTGATCGTTGAGAAAGGAATTCCCAATTGATAAGAGAAGTTTTGTGAATAAATATGTGATTATAACTACAGTAGTTGTTGAAAAGACATGCCAACCTAAATCTAAGACAAAGTAGACCCGAAAGAGTGAGACATAGACAAAATTTACTACACATTTTTCTTTTGCGTGTACAATCATATTTATAATAGTGATACAGAAAAACAAGACACTAAAAGTCAAAGAAAAGTTAGTCAATTTGGTTTATATATGTCATTCTTTCTGATTTACTCTGTTCATATTTAACTGTACATATCTTTCCAACAACTGGTTTGCAATCTATCTGAAGAAGTTGTTTTCAACACTGAAATATGCCATTTTAATTATTTAAATTTTATTGAATAAATTGCAAGAAAGCATGAAAATATTGATACTATGTCAAAAAAAATGAAAGAATTTGATATGATTTGTTCAATAGAATCAATCATGTAAATATTTCTTCATATGATCTCGATCGTTTCTCCTAGATAAACATTATTATGAAGAAAATTGAAGATATTTCAAAAGAAATTGAACATACTTTGTACAAGCCTTTCCAAAGCGGCATTTGCCAGCATCATCACGTTTTGTATTATTCGGATGTGCAAATTGTTTTCGATGATCAGGATCATCACTTAAACACGAAAAAAAAACATCTTAGCTATTGTAGATTTAACTGGATCAAAGTATCGTTGACTACATTGAAACTCATTGATTGATTTTTCTGAAAAATTCTATGGATTTGCGACTTTTAAAATAGCTTTTCATTTCTTTTTTTGATTCGATCGAACTTTCTTGAAAAACTATACCAATCTATATTTGAACCTAGGATGTGTGTGGGATGTGGAATACAGCATTTCCAATCTGATTCGAGCATCGGAGTCGGAACTGCTCAAGTCTGCTTGATAAGTTCTTCAGTTTTTTTCAGATCGTCTCCTCTTCCATGATTTTTTGAACTGAAATATTGGTAAACAAACATACTTATAGCAGTCTGCTCCGTAACGGCAGTGTCTCTTGTCCGAATGGCCATAATCAGAGTCACCTGGATGTGCAAATTCTGCACGATGATCAGGATCTTTTCTGTAATCAGATAAAATAAGGAATGATCAGTATTTTATGAAAAGACTTGTGTACACAACCTATAGCACTCTGAGCTGTATCGACATGGGCGACGAGGACCAGCTGATAATAGAAAGTAAAATGAAATCTTGTTTTCGACATGTTATTTTAGGTAGAGATCTTTATCAACACTTACACGATGCTTTGCTTGACGATGAACTTGATCCATCGACATAATGACCAGGCCGTGCAAGTTTAGCTAAAAATAGAATCTATTAATATGAATTTCTTGGAGTACAACAGTATAAAAATTTTTTGGGCGGAGGTGGAGCGCTCTCTGGTTCTGTCGTTTGGGGACTTAGGTTTTTCTAGAAGAGACCAAACTGTCTAGAGAGAAGCTGAATCCTTCTCTTTCCCTATTTTTCTTTGTCTATCCTTCCTCATCAACTATATATCTGCCACGACTATCTGATAAAAAGCAAAATACGTGTAGAAACCAAAAATATTTTCTAACTTCGTATTTGTTTCTCAAATTTAGTAATTAACTTACCTAATCCTTGTCGAACATCATCAGGTACTCTCATATAACATACATCATCAACAGGACAAAAATTCGTATGCAGTGATTCGATAATCTTTCCGAATACTGGATGTGCTTTTAATTGCATAAGTGTTGCTGTAGCACTTGAACGATCATCAGGATTTTTCTTTAGTAAAAGTTCAATAATCATTTTATAACCACCAATATCCGGTACAACAACATCTTTAGCACGTTGATCATTACAAAAATTTTCGTAATCAGCTTGATCTTTCCATGGTAATTCACCACAAAAAAGAAGATAAAACATGACACCTGCCGCCCATACATCAGATTTTTTATGTAGATGTCTTGACACCAAATTTTTTGCATTACGTCGTAAAAATTCTGGTGAAACAAAATATAGAGTGAACGATTTGCTAGCATCGACTGTAAGTTGAGCACATTGAGTATTCATTTTTTCTACAGTACCAAAATCAATCAATTTAATACAGAAAGATTGTTCATTTGGAACAATAACAAGATTTTGCGGTTTTATATCACCATGAACAATGTTTAGTTTTTCGAGAAATGCTAATGCGCGTAACACATAAACAATAATAATGATACCAATAGCAGCTATTTCTTCACGTTTTCCCTCATTTACTTGGTTCACCCAAAATGTTAGAAGATCACAAGCAGCTAATTCCATTGCTATAAAAATAGCTTCTTTCGTTACCTTACTACCATAATATTCGATAACTGGATGATTATCAATTGGAATTCGTTTTGTTAAACGTAAAAAATTGATTTCATTTTTAATTTCTTCTTGTAGACCCGGTCTATTTGGCATAGCTTTGATAGCGACTAGCATATTCTTATTTCTAACTTTTGCTTTATAAATTTCACCAAAACCACCTCGATCAACAAATTGAATAATTTCATATGTAGTACCTTCAATTTCTATTTCTCGTTTTTCATTATTTATAACTGTTTCATTATTTTTTGATTGTATCAATGCTAAGAACATTCTAGCTATTTGTTCAATCGCAGCTTCATGTTGTCGTTTATTTGCTTCTTCTTGTTCAGCAAGACGTTTTGCAATATTGGTATTCTGTTCCATGAGCGCTTGTTGTTGCCGTTCTATGGCATCAATCTTAGCTCTTGACTCACGGCCTCCCATCGTGGGTAGTAAATCGATCTATGCAAAAACGAACACTGAAAACGAAAATGGCAAACAAAATAGACGCGCACACGATCGATAAGAAATTCGAGTAAAAATGCATTCAAACAAAGAGAAAAACATCGTCGAAACTTCGTTCTTACATTCGTGTTTATTGCAATAAAAAGTTGCCTTTCTCTTTATTAGATGCCGATAATATGTTGACTGTTTTATATCAGAAAGAATTTGTCGTTCCTTATCGAAACATAAAATAACCAAACAGAAATGTTTTTATTCATCATAAAAAGAAAAGAATTTCGGAAGTATTCAGCCAGCAACATATGTTAGAAATGGTGACAAACACGGTGATATGAAGTGAACCAAAGTTGGCGCTATCCAAATTTGAGTCCAAAATCCATATTTTACCATTTTTACCATAAACCACAGAAAGACATCGATGCACACCAATAATGTATATAATTGTTAAACAAGTCTTTATTAATTATTTAGCACTCATCTTAGTTACTACTAATTATGTGAGCACTTCTCTAATTAGAGCTAATTAGTCTAGTACTAATTACAGTAAACACCTTCCTATATTCCAGAGGTACCTTTAGCTCCTCAAGTCCTATATTCTAGAGGTACCTTTAGGTCCTCAAGTCCTATATTCTAGAGGTACCTTTAGGTCCTCAAGTCC